ACCACGCCCATGCAACACCCGTTTCCTTAGAGGGCTTAACTCGAAGTACATAATTAGTGGTGTTAGGTATTGTACATCGAGCTAAGGCGTCTAAAAAATGGGGAAGGTATTTTTCGAGTTACGCCCTTCGAGTTAAGCCCTTTCGAGTTATGTTAAGCCCCTGCCACGCCCTTTTTCGCCGAGGGCTTAACTCGATGAACATATAGGTTGTTTTAGTACTTCGCGTGTATACTCGCAAAAACATTAGCAAATAAGGAGGGAGAATGTAAAACTTCTATAGAAAAATTACTTTCAGCAATTTTAAGAAATACATTTTATTATATAAGATCTCTGTTGCGTTGCATACAGTTTTATACACACAGACAATGATATCGTGAAATGAGAGAATGAAACTTATTTCGCGTTCGATCGAGGTCAATTTATTCGTACTGAGATTAGAGATATAAAAGCTAGTCCAAAATAATTTGTTACTTAATGAAAATTGACTGTTTATACGAGTTATTCGTGACTCATTTAGGCTGCGGCTTAACTCGAACTTTCCAAGTTGTGTTTCTTTCTTCGAGTTAAGCCCTTGAGGAAAATGGGTGTAGTTTGCGAGTTGTCGGTGCTTAACTCGAAAAGGGCTTAACTCGAAGGAGTTAACTCGAATTACTCCAGTTACAGTTATCTACTTCCAGGGTCGTAGCGAAGAGGATAAAGAGGGGGGATGTAGTATCGCATTTGCCTATAACATTTCAGTCGCTAAAGCTGGTTTTCCTTTAGGCGGAATTTTGCGCGCGGAACGGAGACACGGGGTTTTTCTTTGTCTTGTGATTCCTCAGGTGGAACTAATTAGAAAAGACAAAGTAAGGGAGTAAACTCGAAGGGCGTAACCCGAGGGGCTTAACTCGAAGATTTTCCCCCAATATAATATCATCATGGTTTTTTCGTTTTAAATACACGTATAGTCGTTTCAGGTGAGTATTTCTAAGTGAAAACAGTAATTTGTGCATTATCGTGCACGTACAGGTCAAACATCTCCGAGATACAAAATCATCGTTTCGACAAAATTTCAGTCATCATATCATCAGGATAAACTAACTAGGTTATATGACAAAAGCTGTATTTATATGAACGAATATGATACAGGTTTATATCTTTGAATAGCGAGGGATTCTTGATACAGCAAAAGGGACCAATGGTTAGATTTATCAATTACTTCAGTTAGTATTGTGGAAAACATGTTCAGCCATTATACTGGTTTGATTAGACTTTGCTTTATCGTCGGGATATAGTTCTAAAAGGGCTTTAATATTTTGAAACAGTTAAAACCCCTAAAACGTATCAACGCTCTGCTGTCTATGAATATATTTGTCCTGGATGTAATAGTAGGTCCATCGACAAAACTGACCGCTGCTTATACACCAGAACTAAGCAACATTCATATCACATAAAATCTGAAATCCACCGGTAGCACCTCGCTCTGCTTGCGAACAGTTTCAACATCTAAAGCCCTTTTAGAACTATATCCCCACGATGACGCATACACTTGTTTTGTATTTTGTATAAAATACTCAGTGGTTCTAAAAATCTCCGAATTGTTTCCAAATATCAAGAATATGTTATTGACTTGTTATTTCCTTGTCTGATTCATAGTTAAATAGCAAGAACTACGGCCTGATGCATGCCGGAAATATCAATTGTTTATCTACAATGTTATTAAGATGCCGAAATTAAATATATGCAAAATACAAATATTAAAAAAGAACACCCAACAAAATGCGTCATAGCAATTATCTTTTATTTCAAAAGTACGGCAAAGGTTTTGTACTTTAAAATTATTAATTTGTTAGTGTCGGCGTAATTAGCTGAACGTCTACGAAGCCCTATCTTCTGCTATAAGTTAAATATGATTTCCTGGCTGCATTGACTGATTTTGACTTTTCACATTACATTTCGCGCTGAGGACTTGATTCTCCGATTAGACTTGTAAAGTCATAGGCAACTCAATGGCTAGGTCTATCAAATGTTTGACTTAATAAATCTTATAAACAGAATGTATTTAACACTGGTTCTCTCGTTGGTAGTGGTTCACCTACCTGAAAAATATAAGGAGAATTTCGACGTTTCGAGCGAAGGCCTTCGTCGAGAGTTACTCCAGATGAAGTAGTAGCTAACTCTAGTAACTACAGTCAGACGAAAGGCCTTCACTCGAAACGTCGTTTAAATTCTCCTGATATATTTTCAGGTACTTGCATCCCTACCGACGAAGCTTGTTATTATTGGCAGTACCCACACTGGCACAGACAGTTCAAAATTGTACTTAACATTATTCAATATTTCATACTTACATTGCCATGACATTGGTTTATGATATTGGACTTTCCTGTTTCAAACAAACGATGCGAAGTAAAGCCAATATTATGATATATATCTGATGTTCGTTTCAAGTGCGTTATCGCGGGCGCACGTGTCAAACAACTTCGAAATACCTAACTAATTTAAGTTTAGTTTGCAGGTATATAATACCGATTTTGATACTATATGTAGCTAGCTTTTTCAGTGCTAATGTGCTGTTCTTACCGATTATGGTTCAGTCGGTTATACGACAGTAGAAAAACTAAACTAATTGTATAAGCTGTAGTTATAGTCGATAGCTCTTAGCTATTCTCCTTGGAAATCGAGTGTGTTTGGTTGAGTTAAGAAGGGACTTGCCATTGACTCAACTATTTCAAGTAGTAACCTAACACTAGTACTTCAAATGCGTTGATCATTCCATTTCGTAAAAGTCGATAAACACAACATTTTTGTGTAGGTGTTAGTTCCTTCCTTGATTCGTAGCTAGTTAATCGACAAGATCTATGACTATGCCTGATGCCTGCATGATGGGGCGCCGGAAATATTTACAAAGCAAAACAATATATCTAGTATATTATATCTATTTTCATCATGCAAACGTTCAAGGTCAAAAATCCTATTGTAGTTTATTACAATGGTATTAAGAGAAAGAAATATCTTCGGAAAGCACAATACAATTATTAAAAAAAAGACAAAACGCGTGATAGTGAATATCTTTTAATCTCCAAATTGCGACAATTATAGAAATATTTCAAAGGTTCGCTACATTAGAAATATTTTTAGCTTCAGCGTAATTGAGTGAATGTCTACGAAGCCCCTATCTTCTGTGATATTTGCCCACGGGCTGGCATGGACAAGAGAACATGAAAGTTTATCATATATAATAGTTAGCCTGCACATCTTAGCACGAGAACGAACGAATAGCCTCATTAGGGAGTTTACGAATGTCAGACGGCGACGTCAGGACGACGACTATCAATACAATGACATTAATCATATAGTACAAAAGAAATGAATAATTAAAAGTCTAACAGAGGTTTTCGACGTCGTCCAAGCTCTGTTGACAACGGCAAAATGCATATTTTCACGTCTTGTATAGTACGCTAGCATTTCACGCAGTGACAGCTAGCTAGTTTTTCTAGCAGAGTTTATCAACATCGCTCGGAGGGTTAAATTAGTCTGTTTTACTCGTTCGAAACTATTTTAAATTCATACAAAAGTAAATACAAGACAAGATTTTCATACAATCATTTCTTTCAAATAGTTTGTTTCAGTTTAGCCGTCGTTCTGACGTCGCCGTCGCAAATTTTTTTTCCGTAGACAGTCGGACTCCTCATTGATAGTCGGACGCATCATTGATCCGCGCCCTTAGACAAAATATTCAGCGGACACTCTTCGTATTAGATGTGCCTTCCCAGTACTGTGTCTTGCGCACGCAAATGGTGATTTGAAAATCCGGATTGTATTGCTTGGTTGAGATGCCAAAATCTGACTAGGACACATTGTAGCTTCATATCTTGTGTGGTGATGACATCTATAACATATTTTGTTAAATTATATACCGTGGTTATATTCGACATTCCCACTTGCTTTTCGGATCGATTGCAGAATACCGTCCACTTTTTAAGCTATGCTTTTCAAACATCATGGATACGATTTATTAATACATATATATTTATTCTCAATAGATTAATAACAAATAGATTGATAGTTTAAATTCCCAAGGTGGTAAAGGTGGCCACGAGGCATACAGTGGCTTAAGAATTAATAGATTAAATTGTCATAGTGTTAAAGGTAGCTCTATATTCTGGTGGATACGCGGATATGCAGAGAGCTTAAATGTGGTGTAATATGTAAATATGTTCCTCACAACCGGACATTGGTGTTTGACAGATTATGATAAATTAGCGTCGCTGCGAGAAAAAAAGTTTATATTATAAAGGATACTAAGCATAATATTAAATATGAAAAATCTTGCATGATATTTCGTGATTAGTATCAATTCGTAATATTATCTTAGTAACTAGTTTGTGTATATTAGAACGAGGCAATAAGATCTGGTATATACATTTCCAGTGATAGTACTAGTGGACGGATATTCGGCAATACTTCTTTTTGTGAAAAGTGGTCTTTATGGTCGCTTTGAATCTGAACTAAATTCAACGTATGAAACAGGCCTAATTCTCTCAATTGGGATGCTGTATAATTTTAACTCGCAATAGCTGTTCTTGAGTATTTTCGGAACCAGAAAAACAAGTTTGTAATTCATTATGGCATCGCGAAGCAAATCGTTCATCTTTCTACATGTGGTCGAAGACGAACAACGGGGAGTGAATTGGATATATGGTGCACCAGTGGGTTACACAGGGTATGAAGAGATCCATCGATAACGCGCAGAGGCCTGGACGCGGATCAATGATGCGTCCGACTATCAATGAGGAGTCCGACTGTCTACAGAAAAAAAATTTGCGTCGCCGTCTACAGAAATTTCCAAATCGGGCTGCAAGAGTAATTTGTGGTGCGACTTACGATGTTCGGTCGGTTGATTTCATAGAAATATTAGACCTAGAATGCGTGCTTGGTCACGTGACCGGTGTCCAAACTGAAAACAAAAATGCCCTTATAAATCCGCCATGTTGAATTTGAGTAGGAGCGCAAACTACAAAGTATAAACAAAACTAAAACTATAAAGTTTTCATCGTCAAAACGTTTGGTATTTGTATAGTTTGGGGATAGAATTTGAAATATTAAGATCTTTAAAGGCTCAAAGCAAATGTGCCGTTACAAAAACGGTGAAAATCGTGCAGCCTTGTATAAAAAACAAGTAGTTTTTTCGTGTAGTTTCGCGTATAAAATATAACTTACTCATAAAATATTTTTGCAAGCTCTGAACGTAACTGCTTTGCTAATACTTTATAAAATTACGAGATGATAGTTCATTCTTCGTCGGGTTTTGTTTTTCTTCAATCTAAACGAAGTGTTTTCATGTTTTTGAAACAAAAATATTTAGTTGTTGATATTTAAAACTGTAAATCGCCTAAATGATCGTCGAAAACATATGGTTTCAAAAGCGTTGCCTCAAGCTCAAGCAACGTATAAAAAAGTATAAAAAGTAGTTGTGTAAGTTTAAAAAGATTATTGAACTCTATTATATTATAAAACAGTTGAAATATATTTTTTAAAACATACCTATTGAGTTTCAATTTGTCTTGATTTTTCGTGTTTTGTTTTGGCTTGCACAACAACGTTGAAAATGTATTTTGAAACGACGATTTCTCTATATATTCTGTTCAGAACTATTGCTCTTCGTAAAAAACCCCATGGGAATGGGTTTTTCTCCATTAAAAACACTTTTTTTCCACTTGAAGTCTGGATAGAATTGTTTTTGCAAACTTTATTGAAAAAAACAATTCGCACTCCCGGCACCGCGCGAAATTCCACGCCACAGGAGTCTGGGACTAGCCAAAATGCCCTTATAAATCCGCCATTTTGTGGAGACAAATTTTTTACTGAGAAGAGATAGGAGCACGCATTCTATGTCTATTATTTCTATGGTTGATTTACTTGAAAGTCTGGGTTGGAAACACGACTAGCACCTAGAACTAAGGGGAAATTTGTCTCTTCCTAAACCGAATACCGATTCTGGTAAAAGATGCTTCCAATATAACGGAGCGGTAGTATGGAATAATTTACCGTATGAGGTACGGGTTAAAGTAGCGGAATCTTTAAGTTCTTTTCAAAGAACTATTAATCAGGCAAACACTTAAAATTGGCTCGTCCTGTTGCCTACTGTATACGTAATTCTTCTTTCTTTGTTTTTGTATTTCTAATGTTTATCTGTACAGTATATTCTCGCCAAATCACGCCCCTCATGGAAATTAGCTCTGAGTCGGTTGAGGCCAGCGTGCTTAAATAATTTATTTTATGCATGTATGTATGTACCCCCTTTTCTATTGGCTATGAGATAAACTCATTATAATACTCGTAAACTTTCGTTTGTTGTTTACATAAACTATCAAGTCATGTTGACCGTGACGCGCGCGGTAGCGGTGCTAGGGAGTAATGCAATCAGTACAGCAATTGAAATCACATACATTGGTCACTATTGCTGTTTACAGCGGTAGAACTGAACAGCAATATATATTCCGCGTCGCGGAGTACAAACTATCGAGCTATAAACAAGTTAGCATGAAGAGATCCGCTTGTGCATTTCAGCATACGTCTATCCGAGCCTGTGAAAATTCCAGCATAACAGTTAATGCATAATTATCAGGCCAAGTGCAATCGTCGCGTTTCCCGTGTTCCAACGTTTGAAACATGCCAATATAACGTATATAAGTTCAGCTTTGTGAACTATTCTGCGCCAAATAAATTAATTTCCAATTCAAAATACTATTCCTATTCTCTAAGATACTATTCCTAATCCTATTCTAATCAAAATGCTATTCCTATTCCTATTCTAAGTAGACTTCGTTTTCCCCTATAGCTGCATCGGCGCAATTTTTTTCCGTAGACAGTCGGACTCAGGCGGTTCGCAAGAATCTAGCTAGTATAATAACTATGAGATTGGTCGGGAGGCGCAGTATTTATACTTGCCAGATTACCAATCTCGCCAATCTGAGTAGCAAACAAATTATACTAGTGCCAGACTACCGTTTATCAATATAGCGCATTCAATATGGCGACGAGCAAGCAGTGTTTATGAGTGTTATAAATATTAATGACTTCGAGTAAATAAATCGGACTATTAAGTGTGTAAATGGCAATAATTTTTGGCTCGCGATATTAGATGCTCTTTCTGCTTGTTGTATTTGTGGTAAAAGTGGTTCCCTGTGAAGATTGAAAGTAAAAATTGGAGAGTTTTTATACGCGAGTATTGGACATATATTTTATACTTATATATAGGGCTATATATTTTCAATATTTTGAAAAATCACGTACCATGCCATGGAATAATGGATTAATGGTTTATATACAGTAGCGACGTTTATATGGACTATGTGCTGACTATTAGTATCAACTGTATTAAACTGGTATGAAGTGTATCAAGTTCACACAGCAAAAAATATTAAAAATGCCTGGCCAGCCTGGGTGAAAATTGCCTATCAAACAATGTTCATTATTATAGGGGCTGTTTATATGTACCGGCATGGGCACACATTCAAAAATTGTCTGGGGGGGGGGGGATCTGGGATGACTTACCTGTTCTGCAATGTTCAGACATTTGTAGCTATATGTTAGCACAGAAATAGAGGAGTGCAATAAAACTGGGACCAACTTCTTGTGATTTTAAAACCCCCCCCCCCCCAATGTACAACCCTGTGTACCGGGCTCATTTGGCCACAACAGAACACCTACACTGACTATTTCATTCAAGATTATTTCCTGCTAGAGTTAAAGTGAGCATGGATATAAACAGCCCTTGAATAGTTTTCCCAACCTTTCCGATATTTATAGTATCACCTATCAAAATATTTCTGTAACGTGATTTACATAACTGCTTATATTTTTCAGATAATATTTGTATGTCATAGTATACAAATAATGAATGTTTATGAGTGCAATGGTAAGAATATTTTCATGAGGTGAAAGATGGAATGTTCCATTCAACGAGGCGACAGCCGAGTTGAATGGAACATTCCATCTTTCACCGAATGAAAATATTCTTACCATTGCACGAAGAAACATTCGTTATTTGTTTTATATAATACCAAAAGTCCAGAACAGACTAATAGATTCGTATGAGAAGCATTTTGAGGGATGCGAGTTATCGAAAACACAAAGAGTGCAATTGTACTATACGTTTTATTCCATTGCACTCGCGGAGAGTGCAATGGAACGCGTTCCATTGCACTCTTGGGAAATGGAATTTTCTATTCAATATCACGTGACCATAAACAGCCAATTAAACGATTAGAATTTAATAAGGTATTATATAATACCTACCACAGCCGTCTGCTATTATCACTACTACATTGGTACTGAGCAAGGTGCCCGGTAACAGTGATTGAAGTATTGAACACATTGTATTTTATTTTAACCCATCAAGCTGCAGAGCTTCCCCATTAATGAGTAAAATCGTCTGGCATTAGACAAGTAAAAAAAAAAGTAAGGCGCACTGGGGCACATTGCGGCTCAATGGATTACCGTAATTAAGTTTCCATACGATATGGATAGCTCATATCAAATGTGCAACAATGATGAATAACATGTAGTGAATTTAGTTAGGACAAAGGATTCTGTCTGTGGTGATTAGTACAGTTCAACATCAAACAAAGGTCTTCTTCAACCCAACTAGTAT